GCTTCCGGGTACAATAGGAGTAGCGCACAAGTTGATCTATAACCGGTGGGCGTACTGCGCTAAGGGAGGCTCCGAGAGGAAGATATAAAGAATAGGGACTTGAAGAGGTAACCGTTCAACCAAGTATATTAGAAATACTCTGTCCGTCGAAGTCTGCTGTTCCTCTACAGGATTCAGCGGTCTTTAAATACAAGATTTCGTCCATGTCCTGCATGGGCGAGTTCCCCAGTATCCGTTCACTCATCCCGCAAATCAAACAAACTAAGCATCAAGGGATACTCAAAACCACAAGTAAAACAAACTGAGTATCAAAGGATACTCAAAACCACAAGTAAAACAAACTGAGTATCAAAGGATACTCGAAACCACAAGTAAAACAAACTGAGTATCAAAGGATACTCGAAACCACAAGTAAAACAAACTGAGTATCAAAGGATACTCGAAACTACAAGTAAAACAAACTGAGTATCAAAGGATACTCGAAACCACAAGTAAAACAAACTGAGTATCAAAGGATACTCGAAACCACAAGTAAAACAAAACATAAAACAAATCCTTGAACCGAACGGACTGAACTCCAGTTCCGGTTACAGCCATACACAACTAATTCCATTGATAAAAGCTGTTAGAACAAGCATTGTCTGATGCTTGTCCCACCTACTTTGTAGTGACTTTACCCATATTGTTTTTTCTCCTTTATGTGCATAGGTCTTTCCACTTAGGTACTCAAAGAGAAGAGGAGTTTGATCCATATTGCCAATTTGAGCTAGATCGTAGCATCCAACATCATAGCAATAATCACCAATACATACTTGAGAATTGCACCTATTGAACTTTAATCAAGATTCAATTATGCTTTTATAGTACATGGAAACATGTTATGCTTTATTTGTCATTACTCTCAGTAAGATACCCCATCGGCTCAAGAAGTGTGCAAACTATTCCTCTGAGAACTTGAATTGTGAGGAATCAAGTTCAGAATATATTTCCTTGAATACCAATTTTCTTGCCAAATGGAACCAGGCTAAGTGCACAATTCCTCCTTCTGTCCTTCTCTTACCAAATTGCTTATACAATTCAGCTTCCATCTCCAGATAAGCACATATTCCAAGGGGCCTATATGAACGGCCCTGTACCAGAGTTTGTATAATAGTATTTTCTTTTCTCTGCCAGTCTGAAATTGTGCTTTCTGGAATCTGGACAGTTTTAAAATTATTGTAAGCATGTCTTCTTTTTACAATTGCTGAAATCTGAACGGTAAATATGCAACTCTGATATCAGAATATTCGAAACCCTCTAGTATTAAGAACAGTAAAGCATAGTTTCAATTCGCATTCAAATACTTTAAGGATATAACTTGCTAGCTAGATTAAAAACTTACTTTATACCAGTTGGAAACCTCTTTTAAAGTTACAGATCGCAATAAATTACCACGTTTAATGGTATCTGGCACCTGTCCGTATTTCCAGTAGCATAATACATCAAGCTTCACCTCTCTTGGTCTTGTCTTTATTACTTGATTAACTGTTGGTCGAAATGAGGCATGCCTTCTATCTAGGGAGAGAGGCTTTCGTCTGGGTTTTGACTTGCGGTGGGCATTTTCAGCTGAACTGGTGACTTCTGCGATCGCACGAGATTGGGCTTCTTGTGTGCTTTGTAAATCAACCATAGACATAATATAGAGTATAGGAGATGTGAGGATGAGGTTGTGAGCAGTAAGGGTTATCTCATCTGAGTCTGGCATACAATATGAAAAGCTTCATGATCAGTGGTGTTGAATTTTGCGGTGGCAACCTACGTAACCGACTCTTAATCAGCCGCACTATCCCTTAGCCTCGTCTTACGGTATGTGACGGTGGCTGGTTGCTGAGGTTCATAACCTCCTTACACTCAGCCTGCGGGTACCGTGGTTTGTGTGGTTGCATCCAGGCACCGCCACAAACGTCCACAAACGTGCTAAGAGCACTTTGGACGCGAATACACAATACAGATGCTTGACCCTTTGAGGGAAGTAATCTCAGCCAATCTAACCAACTTCCTACCCGAGTAGCGAGCTACCAGTACTCGAAACTTAGCACTTGAAACCCTATTTTCAGACCACGGGGCTGTATAAATACATTCCTTTCCTTTTCCTCCTCTCTTCCATCCCTCCCTGAGTGCTAGGGATGCACCGTTGCTCCCGGCCGGTCGGGAGTGCGACGGTACGAATGAAGAGGTCCGATTATATGGGCTACTAGGTCAAACGACCGAGATAACCGCATCGCGGATGATCGTGGAAGTTTTAGGATCATTCTCAGCTGTCTCCTTTGCTCTGGAGCTAGCGATTTACGGAAGTTGTTCCCCAGGCATGCCTTCCCTCTGCTGTTGCGGGGGTACGCAGAGGGGTGAGGCCATGCCTGGAGGTATAAAAATACGTGCGGTGATCCACACGGGGTGACCAGGCCACGCCCGTGTTTCGCGTTAGTACTTGTATCTTTACTATTAGTGAACAAGATAGCGAAGCTTGTGACCATATATTTTCCTATCACTCCGCCCAACGCCGAAGCCCGCAGAGTTGCTACTTTCGCTTTACCGCTTAGCCATCTATCACAAATAGTCATTCCAAACAACATCGCATGAGATATCGCTTGTCAGGTTGGATAATTTCGATAGCTTTCTTTTGCTGCTCCTGCCCCAAGCCCCCCGCTCCAGAAAGGCACTTGCGTGCCTGACTTCAGAGTCAGGCATAATACCCCAAACAGGATTATCATAAATCAGGAATACCGTAACACTTCCATGATACCTTAATTAATGTCTCTCTGCTTGTCCAAGTTTCCTCATACTCTGAGCTAAACCTAGCACCCTCCATCATTGAGATCCCTGCAGAGATCACTCCCCCAACCCCACCAATCAGCGGCCAATAGTTATAATTCCTGTCCTTTGTCCCAGACGAAGAAATCTGGGGCCACCTACCAGCAGAATAAGCATTAGTTCCCATGGTAACTTTTCGTGAGATTCCTAGCTGGCGCAGCGGTCGATATATCATAGTAAAAAGGATTTTCCCCAGCTTTACCTCTGATCTGTGATAGCAACTAAAAAGAAATTTTCCAAATGATATACAGACTCTCTAGCACAGCCTCCCATCAAAACTATCAGGAAATGCAGGAACGAACTGTCTGTACAAATTCCACGCAAAGTCCGTGCCAGATGTGACTCCTTCTTGGATATAAGAACATCTGTAGAACTCAAATAAGGAAAAGTAAACAGATATCCAGCATTCAATATCAGGTGACAACTGCAAAAATAGGTGACCTTAGCTATAAACAATGACGCACAACACATGTACGTACTAAGATATTCAGCAAGATCAAGACTTTAACAAATAGCGGAAATCCAGAAATTACCAATGTCAACGGTTGGATAAATAAGTATGGGCCTACAACACTCCAAAAAAAAAGCTGAAAAGCCAAACTCCGCACTCCACAACAACAACAGCTGGTAACATGAACTATTTTGGTTTCTAAACACTGCTGGATATGCCTAGTCCAAGTCAATATCACTTAAGAGTTAGGCATTGAAGCTGGTACAAAGGCGCAATGAAATATCTTTGCCAGAAGCAAAGCCGAGGTTTGGTTTATGAAATAACCCGGACGTGACAACCATTCCCTTGCACCCCCATCGTCCCAATTATTTATCGGAATCTTCAGCTATACATATTATAGGACCCCAATACCATGCAATCCTCAACGTCCACAAAGACTCGCTCCGCAGCGAAAACCTCTCACTATACCAGATCCAAGAGCATCATGTGTTATCACTCGCATCTTGTCATCTTGACCCTGAGCCAATTAATCCCATATACTATACTGGCAAATAAAGCGCCCTGTCTTCCGCTCCCCCATCCCTAAACTAGCCGCCAACCCCCTTTCCCCCCCTCTGCTCCTCCGCCCACCTCCGATACCCCTCAACTATCCCCCTCCTCTCCGCCGCCAACCCCTCCCTCCTAGCCAAACTACCTGCACTCTTCGGCACCTCCTCAACATCCACAACCCCGCGCGAGTGCAGTACACCCTTCGGCTTGACGAGCGTCGGCGGCGCCGTGGCCAAATCCGAGAACTTCGCCATCCGTCGCTTTTCCGCGAGTGCGGCCCAGGGGTCGGGACTTACTCCACGACCTTTATTCCTTCCGCGCTTGCGTTTCCCCCCTCCCTCCTCCTCACCCCAATCTCCCCCTTCGCCATCATCATCGCCGCTGGGGCCGGCAGCAGGGATAGATTTAGCCTTTTCCTTCTTCTTCTTCTCCCTCGCGCGCTGCGCTTTGCTACAACCCTCTGGTTTCAGCGTTATTGGCAGACTAGCGTCGACACGACGGTTGAATTGTCGGAGGGATTCGCTAGGTTGGATTTTCAGCTCTGGGACCGGGTGGTGTTTCCTCGTTTTGGTAGGGGGGTCATCGAGGCCGTTCGGCCTGGGCTTGTTCCGTTGGATGCGGGAGAGGAGGCGGGTGAATTCCTTTGGGGTATCGTCACCAGTTTTCTGGGGGCGTTTGCGCTTCTTGGTTGGGTGCCAATCTGTCGGTGTTGGGAGGTCGTAGCTAGTTTTTTTCCCCCTCTTATTAGCAGGTTTGAACAATCACAGGGAGGGGAAGAGGGGAAGAAACTCTATCTTGGGTAGGTTCTTGTTGCGGCCCCTCTTATTTGGCATTGTGAATCCCAGCAAGCAGGCAATCGCTTGATGGCGGTGGTGGTGGGGAATAGGGATTGTAGTAAAGTTATCATACTTGAGGGGATTTTTTCCACTCAAAACCCTAACCCTTATCCATCATAAGCCTCAAAGCTTGGCGAAGATATTGCAATTGGCGGGTAATTCACATCGCCTTGAAGCTATACCACAAGCTAACTTGCGGTATGATATGACAATATCTATTACAGCTATCGATACCAAAGCTCCCACAAACCAACCCACCCCGCTACTTACCTGCCCTGCATACCTTGAGCTAACCCACCGCCTTTAACCATCTACACGACCAACGCGGCGTAAGCCTCAATTCCGCACACATACTGTCCCGACAGTAACCACACGCACACAGAAAGGCATACACATGCCTCCGAAGAAAAGGAGTTCCAAGTCATCCGTGGCTGACAGCTCGGAGGCACCACCATCGCCAACACCGCCCGCGGCATCTTCAGTGAAGAAGTCGAAAGCAAAACCGGGAACAAACAAGGCTAACGGGACGACTGTTGGATCTAAGGGGAAAGTTCCGGTCGTCACTGCTAGCGAGGCTGGGGGCTCCACCTCCGCCCCCAAGGGAGGTGAAAGCAGGGCATTAACGGTGCAGCAATTGATTGGAGGTTTATCCTGGACTGGGAAGTTACCGCAGGCATTGCTTTATGAGCATTGTGTGAAAGCAGGATGGAATAAGCCGGATTACCTCGTTGTATGCAGTTCATTCCATATTTCGATAGTACGTTGACGAAAAATATCTACTAATAGAGTCTCTCCTTTCCTCTCTCTTTGATATAATAGAGGAAAGATGCCACGAAAGGTTTCGTATCATCAGTGACCGTGACATACAATAATCCCAAAACCAGCCACACCGAGTCAATGCGCTATATCCCACCCTTTGAGAAGCCCGACGGCACACCAATTAACCTACAAATGGCCTCTATACTCGAGGCCAAACACTTTGCCGCTACCTATGCCCTCCATCGCGTCTCCTCCATGAAGAATATCCACATGATGCTCCCACCGACACACAAGGGCTACTGGACTATATTCGACGAGATCAAGAGGATGGAATTCGCAAAGAATCATGCGTGGATGTACGTCGCGGACCCATTCCTCGACAGACGCGAGTGGATGGCCGCGGAAGCTGTCAAGGAAAAAGCCCTAGCGGAGGCCAAAAAGGACAAGCCTGCTGGGGCGGTTGATGAAAAGATGAGGGGGTGGTATCGAGTTCCGGTTGTGGACATGGGGACCAGCCAGCGGAGGGAGGTAGAAGGGTTGGTCCGGAGGTATCATGTTTGGAATCCAGCTGGGGTCAGAATGACCAGGGATCTAATGGCGAAGGTCATTTCGGAGTTGGTTGGGTTGGATTTCAAGAGGGCGCATGTTGAAGAAGCTTGTGGTTGGGTGAAGGATAAGGAAGAAGCTTTAGGTGGGGGCTCCTGCAGGGATGCTCTTCTTTTTATGAAAAGATTGTGGCTGATTGGGCGCCAGAGTGGTTGTTAATTCATGTTCCGGAGGATGACCTTCCGGTCAGGTTTTTGCCGGGGAATTATGCTACTGGTGTGACGTTTTCCTCTGGAGATCTGCCGATGGAATACGCTGCTAAGCGTATGGTTTCTCATTCGTAATTTCCATTGGCGTCGCTAACTATATTCCAGGATTATCCGTCACCGGCTACTCTCTGGATCTCTGCCGTGAAATTCTAGCCCTTAACGCAGGAGATGAAGAGCTTGCGGCAGAAGCACTAATGCAAATCCTAGTCTATGGCCACCAGAAGACCCCCCAAGGCGCTAAGGAAGAGTCGCTAATTTCTTTCTCGGAGACCGACCTCTGGGCAGAGGAAATCAGTGCTCTAGAGGCAATCTGGGGTCCCGAGAGGTACACCCAGATAACACCTACACACTTTAAAGTGCTGCTTTCCAATCCCCCTATTCAGGGCTTAAAATTGCCCCAAAAAATATTTCTAGAGATACGGAAACCAACCTCGGCGACTTGGGAACTAGAATACCCGCAGACAATCCCGACATTCACACTCTCCACCGAGGACGATGGGGACGGAAGATTGTCGGCACAGGTCAAACTCAGTATCATCAAGCAAACGGCAAAACACGCAAGCACTCTGCTCGGTGAACAGATGATCTTTACAGTGATAGACTGGCTAGAGAGCAATATTGCTAGAATTGTTGAGTCCCCGGGTAGACTTCGCGACGTCACAAGTGGTGTTACAGGAAGCAATGAAGATGATGTAACACATCCGAATAAGGTCAAAGGAAAAGCCTCTCGACATCGCAATTCGAGAAACCCCGGGTCTATTGATTGGACCCCCGGTCAAGAAGCTAGTATGCGATTACTCGCGGCTAAAAAGGCCAAATACTCTTCGCCCGATATGCAAAAGATGCTACAAGCACGCATGCGCCTACCAGCATGGGATCTGAAGGAAGATATAATTGGCGCCGTGAATGATTGCCAAGTCACGATCATTAGCGGTGAGACTGGAAGTGGGAAGAGCACGCAGGCTGTTCAATTCATTCTGGATGATATGATCGACCAGCACCTTGGACATATCACGAATATCATATGTACCCAGCCCCGCCGTATTTCTGCTCTAGGCTTAGCGGACCGAGTCAGCGATGAGCGCTGCTCCCGAGTGGGCCACGAGGTCGGGTATGCCATCCGCGGAGAATCGAACCGGAACCCCGCAATGACTAGGATCACATTCGTCACAACAGGTGTCCTCCTACGGAGACTCCAAATGGGCGATAGCCTCGATGAAATAACCCACATATTCGTCGATGAGGTGCACGAGCGCAGTCTCGATACGGACTTTTTGCTAATCCTTTTGAAAAGGAAGCTGGCCGTTCGGAAGGACCTCAGGGTAGTGCTCATGAGCGCTACCCTTGATGCCAAGGTATTCTCAGATTACTTTGGCGGGGAGGAGAAGGTCCGTAGGGTCGAGATTAAGGGCCGGACGTTCCCCGTTGAAGATTACTATCTCGACCAGGTTATTGTCAAGACCGGGTTTAATGGCGGGGGGAGGTTAATGCCTGTCAAGACTGCCGACCATGAGGATGTTCAGGGGGCGGATCCGAGGGTTGCTAGTATCATCATGAGTTTAGGGGATAGGATTAATTATAACCTAATCGCAGCCACGGTCGGCACTATCGATGAGATGCTTGGATCTAGGCATGGAGGGATTCTTATATTCTTACCCGGTAATTCGATCACACACCCTCACTCGATATAATTACTCATCGGATATAGGGACTATGGAGATCCAACGATGCATCGAAGCTATCAAGACCTTACCAGATGGAATAGGGCGCTTTCATGCACTGCCTCTTCATGCCTCCCTCACTCCCAACGACCAGCGTAGAGTCTTCCCCCCACCGCCCCACGGCAAACGTAAGGTCATTGCAGCAACCAACGTCGCGGAAACTTCCATCACAATCGAGGACATAGTGGCAGTAGTCGACACCGGAAAAGTGAAAGAAACCTCATACGACCCCTCCAGTGGTATTGTCAAGCTCCTCGAAACATGGGCCTCCCGCGCAGCATGCAAGCAACGCCGCGGTCGCGCGGGCCGTGTTCGTGCCGGCTCATGCTGGAAACTCTACACTCGCAATGCGGAACACAAAAAAATGGCTGAGCGGCCCGAGCCAGAATTAAAGCGCGTTCCGCTAGAGCAGACCTGTCTCGCGGTGAAATCAATGGAAGACGATGTCCGCGGTTTCCTAGCGGGGGCACTAACACCCCCAGATACCATGGCAGTAGAAGGCGCGATGAAACTTCTCGAGCGCATGGGTGCGATAGCAGACGATGATTTGACTGCCCTAGGAAGGCACTTGGTTCTCATCCCGGCAGACCTCCGCTGCTCCAAGCTAATGGTCTACGGCGCCATATTCGGTTGCTTGGACGTCGCCGTGACGATCGCTAGCATACTGACTACCCGAAGCCCCTTTATAAATACCCCCGCGACCCGCGATGCCAGCCAACTCGCGCGCGCATCCTTCGCTCACGGACAAGGGGACCTTTTAGCGGACTGTCATGCCCACCAGGAATGGACGCGCCTCCGCCAATTATCCTCGGTCAGGGACGTGAAGCGCTGGTGCGAAGAGAACCACCTCAGCCACCACACACTTCTCGACATATCATCGAATCGGGCACAGTACATTTCCTCCCTAAAGGAAATCGGTTTCCTACCGCTCTCATCTTCCTCCACTTCTACCAGCGATTTCGCAAGCCTGAATCAAAACCACGAAAACGCTGTTCTCCATAGAGCGCTCATCGCCGCCGCCTTCAACCCGCAGATCGCGAGGATCGCCTTACCGGAGCAGAGATTCGCGGGGTCGGCCAGTGGCGCTCTAGCTGTAGACCCGGAGGCGAGGACAATCAAGTACTATACCCACGCCTCCGGCCGCGCCTTTATCCATCCTTCCTCCACACTGTTCGATGCGACTTGTTTCACCGGGGACGCTAGGTTCTTGAGTTACTTTTCGAAGATGGAGAGTAATAAAGTTTATCTCAAAGACGTTACACGTATTTCCCCCGTTCCCTAACCCTCCATGTCCCTATGCTAACTTGGGGATAGCGACAAACGCATATTCCCTCCTCCTCTTCGGCGGCGCACTAGAAGTCGATACCATGGGGCGCGGCATCACGGTCGATGGATGGCTGAAGTTGCGGGGATGGGGAAGGATCGGGATTCTGGTCGCCCGGCTGCGGGCCATGCTTGACCAGGTGCTCCAGGACAAGATTGACAACCCGGGGTTGGAACTCGCCGGGAACGAAGTTGTGGCTTGTGTGGCGAGGTTGGTCGGGAGCAGTGGGGTGTGATTCGGCGATCTGGTGAGGCAGCCTCACTGGAGCCGCGGGCGGGGAGAAGGGGTAGTACTTGTCAAGCTTTAGTTGGTTATTTTCCTTTTCTGGGGAATGAATGAATAATGACCGGATTAAACCCAACCGGGCGGTTTACTATCACCGCAGTGGGATAACCCGAGTGGTCATGTCGTCACAGCGCAGCCAGGTGGGCGGCAGGCGCGTAGGGAGAAGCCCGGAAGATGTCATGAACTTGAGGAAACCTTCCGAGTCTGAAGTTACTTCACGCCACCCCCCCCTCTACTTTCTCTCCTAAAATTCCTACTAGGCTTTTGTTCGGCTGTGCGAGCGTGTACTGCACATTGCCAATGTGTCCAGTGTTGCATCGTAGAAGACACGATAGCAAGGATCCATAACCCCTACCACAAAGAAAGAAGGGGCAAAGAGGAAAAAACTCTCTTGTTTCCACTCCTTCCCAGATTTTGCGTATTTAAAAGAACTGGTTTGGCCAGCCTTGGGCTTGAACCACCGGTATTCAACGGCCTCGCGCGTTAGGGAACTGGCAGGTTAAGTTACATGGCAATTCATAAAGTATCTAGATACTTTGTCGCCAATGCATCCGGATACGCCACAGTAAGAATTGTCAAGTATGGTGCCTTGCACTTAAAAGGGACACCTGGCTCGATGCAACATGTAACACTCAACCCTATGTATAATCAGTACTATACCCTAAATCCTTTATCTTTGGTAGTGCTTTAACTTTCACTTACAATCATATGGGTGCATTTAAGCGAAAAGGATAACAATTGCCAACAGCCACAAAACTGGATGAATGATCCTGAGGCTAGAGTATATGGTAGAGTATCTTCCTAGCTTCTTGAAATATATTTAATTTTAAAATTTGAGCAATGGTGGGTCTGTAATATTTATTTTTGTAATTATGGCAAAATATTTTTTTTTACATAGAATGATAGCTGACCTCAAGATCTACCCACCTGCAAGTTTTGAAATATTTTTAAGAATACAATCTGTTGTTATTAAAAAGTATAGTAAAATATCAATTCATGTTGCATACTTTCCAGACATTATTAACCTGTTGTAAGACAAGAAAATGCAAGCATAAAGCAGTAGATCAAAGTTAATAATTCTATTAATTCTGCTTACTCAGCTATTATATCTTTCCTTAATGTATATTAATTTTGAATTCTTAATTAAAATTCAAAATCTTTTACATAGAATTATAGAAACAACAATAAGTATTATCTATCTTTTATTTTTATACTATTTAATTTATTGGTTGTTGAGTTGTTTCAATTTCTTTGTCAAAACATGTTTTTCCCTTTTTCTCAAGAAGGCTTTGGTTGCCATGCAAACTAAAAGTGAGTATAACTCAAAACACCTAAAAAGCGATTGTACTCTTTTTCCCATAACACTCATATCACAAATTAAAAACATATTATTCTCAATACATTTCAGGTATATACTCTATCAGACTTTCTACCTTCATGTATCAAAAACTCTTTCCTATTTCCTGAAAACTACCATTGTATAAAGCAACATTTACCTCTGATATCCGACCCTCTCCCTACATCTGCCACTAGATATTCTATATCTACAGCATGGCAAGTTACTGTTCAACTGTAATATGATTCAAAATGCGAAGTTAATATATTATCAAAGATAAAGGATTTAGGGCATGGTACTGGCTGCATACAGGGTTGAGCGTTACATGTTGCATCGAGCCAGGTGTCGCTTTTAAGTGCAAGGCACCATACCGTAGTTGACAACCGGGGGTATCGGCCCTCTCTCTGAATATACCAGTACAGTGCAGTGCCGGAGTCTGCACATTTTGGGGGGATTCCGTTACCCGAGTATATCACCCATAGTATGGCTACGTTTAAGCTCAACGTTGGGTAAGGAATACCAAACGGAGGTATAGCAAGCGATAGGCACAACACAGCACCTGACTGTGGGCCCATTAAAACTTTTAACCCGGGAGCTCTACCGACCGATCATACCGGTATGAATGATAGCTTAACTGCTGTAGCCAATCTAAGGGCTGTTTGGCGCACCGCCATTCTGAGACCATCACCATCTCAGAACGGGTTTACTGTGGCTAAACACGTTCAGGAAAAATATTAATAAAAAAAAAAGAGCCAAAACATCCAGCATCATATTTTTAGTTTCTCACAGATTAGAAGGAAGGGAGGCATTATTGCGTGCTTTAACATGCCAATAATACCTTTTTATAACAATGTAAAGCCCCATTTTTAGAACTTTTACCAAAAATGTCTATTTCAAAAATTTAATAATGACATGGCGAACACCGCCATCATCTCAAAACACTTTTTAGGCCCTAAATGCGTCTCGAGATGACAAACGGCCCCTAAATAATAATTAATGGCTTATCACAGCGGAATTATTTCCGTCGAGACTTATTACCGCTGATATGGTGGCGGGATTTAAGGCTGAGGGTTGTGGTACTGTACTCGTACTGTACCGGTAGGGTACGGTAGCGCACGTGTAATCCATGGTTAATTCAAGTTACTTCGTACAGTACCTTATCGTACTCGTATCATACCGGTACTGTATGGGCTTGATCCCATGGGTGGTCGCACGGTAGGTATCATAGGAAAGTAGCGAAGCCAAAATGGTAGACTGCTCGTATAATACCGGTAACCCCGCTAAGTTAGCAAGGGTATGATAAACTATCTCCCAGCGGAGCGGCTAGCTGTCAACACTTTTTTTTTTTCAAGCTCAGCTCAGTGACCGAGTCGACAAGTCTCAGCTGCGGATTATCATAAGCTCTCCTGTACGAGTACTGTACGAGTACTTGTAGAGCAGGTGGGTTACACGTGCCGTGGGGAGCTATTCCCCTTTTGTGCGCCTTTTGGGTCGTACTGAGCTTGCGCCCGGAGTGTTCATACAAGTATTCGTAGGGCCCAAGGTACACGCGAGCGCAGTACCGGTACCGGTACCGTAAGATGTACTCAGTACTCCAGTACTCTACCGGCTCAGATGGCCCGACACGAGACCTCGAGGTGGTGTAACGGTTGCTAGAACAGCTTGGTACAGTACGGTACTCGTACAGCATGCAGCACGAGCAGCGACACACTCGAAACGAAATAGGTCAAGTTACCCGCATCCTCAATATTTTTACGCTGCTCCCGACGCATGAAGAGTACTTAGTACAAGTACTTCGTAGAGGGCCGGTACGGTACGGTAGTTGATAGCCGAATACCGGTATTTACGGATTCCCCGTGACCCCAGTACCGGTACCAAAAACCAAGCGCGGGGTCACTATCGACACACTAAGTCTAAGGTAGTATAGCCAAGCGCACTTATCGCCAACTCCCTCCCTCCTCCTCACTCCTTCTTTCCTGTCCAGCCAGTTAACAAATGAAACATATCCAAGCCCGCGATCAGTCAACCGCAATAACTCTGGCTTTTACAAAAGCTGGTCCTTCTCTGGGCGCGTAAGCACCATGGGACGGTGCCGAGGCGGATGCTCGAGGTGAGACTTCTGGTACCGTACTACACCCATAATGCGCAACGGTCCCATATTTCTCCGAAATATAGCCCGACCTGATTTGAGCTGACTACTCGTAGAGCGCAGGAGCCATCACCCTACAATTACTGTAAAGCACCTGAAGTGTACTCCGCATGATAGGCTGCACCACAGAATTTGCACTTACGATAGTATTAATAATTGTCTCGCTAAAAAAAAAATCATCGGCGACAGTTTTTCCATTACGATAGGAGACTCTAGTGACGCTCAATACCACAACACACACCCCTTATCATACTAAAAGTAGCCCATATAAAATTACGATAGTCGCCAATGATACATAGAAAACTCCACCACAACCGCTCTAACCTTCCAGAACTTTGGAAGGGATGTGACGTGCAAGAAAGGGGGGGGGGTGTGGTCTCTTCTTTTCACAGGCTTGCACGATTCGACAAGATCTACAGGGCAGGGCATGAAACACTCGACACCACCCCCTCCTTCCCCTTCTCTCTTCACATTAATCGATTTGGAGTCTGCTTACCATAACCAGTATCATACCTGTCAAAAAGCACCCGACTCCCCTTCACACCTTTATCCTCCTGAATTCCAAAACCAAAGTCTTGTGAGAAGGAAAAAAAAAAAAAAAAAAAAAAAAAGTAAAGAGCAAGAGAGAGAGAGAGAATGGCAGACGAAGGTGTAGCCCTCATTGCCGTCCTGATAAACTTTCTCAGCGCAATATGGAGTTACTTCTGCATCTCTGCCTCGCTGGACCGACGGAATCGTGCTTACGACCTTATGCACGATACTGAATTGGCATGGCACGCACTGTGGACTTCTTGTCAGGTATTCTATCCCCTCCTCCTCCTCCTCCCCTCCTCTACAACTAACCAGCCAACCAACCAACCAACCATAGACTTTCGCCCTCCTAGTCTCGTTCACAAACTTATTGCTGCTACTCTACATTGCTGCGCGAGTATACGTTTCGTTCATAGACGCCGTGAAGGCACAGGTTAGCCTTCGGAGGAAGGTGCTATGGGTGTTTTTCGGCGTCGGATGTGTGCTTATCAGTGCGCCGATGGCGTTTTTGCCATGGAAATTGACCTGCATTGAGACGGGAAGGTTGGATGAGAATATCTTTATTCATTGTGGGGTTTCCCCCTCTTTCCCGCCTTGATCTATGATAAGTGGTCTAGGGGGTCTCCGTGCTAACGGGTGGGTTGTAGGGGATGGTTGAGTGGAGCGGGGTGGTCTGTACAGTACTTCTTGCGGTTGACCGTGAGTGCTCGAGATCGGTCGACAGATCCCTTTTCCCTCTCTTTTTACCAAAAAAAAAAAAAATCATTCAGATATTCCCCTTCCCGCTTCTTTTCACTTTTCCTCTCTTTCTCTCATCTCTTCTTTTTTTTTCACCTCCTAGGGATTTCCGGCGCTTACCAGGTTCATGCTCTACTTATTCATATCTTTATTCATTACTCCGGGAGTATCAGGGGGGTATAAAGTTCCCCAGTTCACCATTACTCATCCATTCACTCCCCGTTCCCCTCCTTCCCCTTTCCACCACGTCTCACAATCAGGGGCGCCAGGTCAAACACGACAAGGGCAAAAAAGCACTTTCCTATCATGTGTATCATATCTCCACGCTAAAGACAACTAAATTCACTTGCCATAAGTTTATCCCTCCACCAATCACTCATCCATCCGAGCGCTCACCCAAAACCCTACCCTCCCCGCCACATCCAACGAATAGTTTCTTCACTTCCTACCAGGGAGTAGTAATATCCATAGGACGAAAGTGCCGCGGGTTCTATCTGGCACGGGCGATTAGCACTACTTCACGAAGCGAAGTGAATGGGCATAAATCACTACCAGCCGCCCGCTTCCAACTATCACGCAGGTTTTGGCGGTGTCATGGGGGAGCACTCGGTCCCGGTTTCGCACGGCTGTCGAGGTGGGGTATATCTGTCGGGGCACCTTTAGCACCTTTAGCCCGCAGCACAGTATTCAGCCTCTACCGAATCCCTGGGTAAGTCAGCGGAGAAACTCCCTGTAAGAACCCGGAAGGGGGATTTATTCAGTAGTAGTCTTGGCGTATCTTCACTACGGTACAGTACGAAATCCACAGTAGAAAGTCAATCTCGAAGCCCCAAATCGCTCTAAAAACTAGGACTGGAACCCTGACACGGCTCGGATCCGATGGAGACCCCAGAAATCTGGAAAATTGTATATTGTAGAACTTGTCGGGCGGGTAGCCACGCGGTGACGATTCCCACCCACACATTAGGACCTTATCTCCCGACGCACGGAATCGAGAAAACTGAGGAGCCGTGTGGGATGCTATCCCACGGAGAACCATTCCCTGCCAGTATCATTGAATCTACCATTATTATTAAATTTGAAAAATCGGTTTTTTTCTTCCTTGAGAGAATAGTCTGCGATCCAATCTCTGCCCCACCCGGACTTTGGACCCTTTTTTTAAAAAAAAGTTCCTGTCGTGCGGGAAAGTTTTCAGTATTCATTACGCTCCGCTGCACACTTGTGTTCAAAATAAGGGTTTATTTATAGAGCCCGGGTAGGGAAGTAGTCCCTGCAGTTTACTTGTTGTATTCTGGAGTTATTTCCACCCCCCCAAGCTAATTCTCAACCATAGCGCTTTTATCAAGGTGACCACTCACTTACAATTCATCAAGAAGCGATCCAAAAGCGACACTCTCCCCATACGACAACTACCTTATTTCCATCGTCAAGAGTATTGAAAGTCCTGGCATGCTCTGACCTACATCCTCCAAGATTACCTAACTCAAAAAAAAAAAATGTTGCTGGTACATTTAGTGCCGTAGTTCACAGCGCATCATTACAAGAGCCCCGAGGCCACCAACAGGTACTCACAATAAAGGCTAAACGATGCGGAATTGTTCTACGAGTAATCGTTCAGAGAGAATATCCATCATATCACACCCAGGACAGTATCAAAAGATGATACCTTCGGAAGATCACCAGCAGTCACGGGATCTCACACGACGTCGGATCAAGATCGGTAGAGGGGATATATCCAGAAGAAGAAACGGGAGAAATCCGGGGCTTACCTGATGATATTTTGTACAGGTGGATTAAAGTACAGAATAATAATTTCTCCGACACTATCTTTATACAAAAAACACATTCCGAGCGGTTGGTAGAAATATGTAGGCGCGGATAACATTGAGAAGCACCGTATGTTCGTTCATACACTGGCGGTTTTTTATATGGTGCCCTACCATCCAAAATGTGCACCAAGGATGAACTTTTCAAATTGGATGCAGGCTTCACAACCAACAGCACTATGGGAGGGGAGAAAAGGAAAAAAAAACCTCAGGGCCAAAGAGAAAGTAAAGGAGGATAAGCGTGGGGGTATTTTTTTTTCTTTTTTCCCATAATGCTACTAGTTGTGAAGCCTATATCTAATTTGGAAATTTCAACTTTGGTACAGTACACATTTTGGATGGCATGCGGCATTACACGATATCTACCGTCGAACAAACGTCAATCACCACGAGCTCCTCTCCTTTTCAGCCACGATATATACTGCACATAGCTACAGCATAAGTTACACACCCCTCTAATTACCCAGAAAGCTGCGATGGGCATCTACATCATCGAAAAGAAACCGGAAAACCAAAAAAAAAAAAAGTGCAGGTATATATTCCTGTCGTATAGGGTGGACTCATATCACAATATACCCCACCACAGATCCCAGATCAACCTTGTGAGGGATAAGTAAGTAACCAACTCGCCAAGTATAATACAAGAAAAGGAAGAAGAAAAAGAAAAAAAACAGTCCAGTGGTGGATTAACCGTTATGGAGAATATAGTCTGTGAATACATACGAGATAAATCATATTTGCCAGAACCTTTCAAGCATTTAATCCCACTTTTCAAATTCTGTTTCCTTCCGTTTCCATTCCATTTGCGGCGGAGCAGTTCGAATAGTTAGAGTTTCCCCATTCAATAATGTCTTCGCGCCCTCCTCGCACATGAAATGGTCGATGATGAATCTTTTCTATAGATAACGTCGTCATACAAAGTCACTCGCTTGTAGGTTTTCCGAGAAAAATCTATATATTATTTTTTTCGACAGCCGGCACAAGTAAATAAATAAATAAATAAGTAAATCTTAAAGATCAATCCTGTAATGGTAAATAATACCGACTGTTAACTTGCGCAGATTGCCAGTTTCAGTCCTCGAGGAGTCTGGGTAGGTGTGTATGTTCAGACATATATCATCCATCCAGCGTTTAAAGGAACTCATCTCTGGGGCCCTTTTCAAAATCCCCCCAGTGCCCCCGGCGGGGGGTGATCCTAACACAGTCGGTGGTGGTGTGCAACAGCTTGAAAAAAAACCCCCGCTAGAGCCTCCATTCCTCGTCCGTCCGGTTATCCTAGCCATCAGTAAGTAATCATAGGATCAAAATTAATCACAATTCATTCAACTCACCCATCTAACCCCGCGATATCGTATCGATAAATGATATCATACATGCCACGAGCCCAACAGCACAGAGACGATCCTTCCCCCCACAAGCCGGGAATAACCCATCGGGGAAAGGCCAGGAAACTAATTTATCGTTCGAGCCGAGTTGATATCATACCCCCCCCCCCCGATTCAAAGCAGTATCTAAAAAAAGTACACCAGTATCAGGCCTAGGGTGACCAGGTGGAAATAAAACAATAATAATAAAAACTACCGTAACAGAGCACACCACAACACCCCGCCTCCTACACACATAGAGAGAGAGAGAGAGAGAGGACATCTATTGTAGACTGCTCACCTACTGATCCCACCCCTGTCCACCTCATCCTTCATATAACGAGTGATAACCCATGATGAAAGTCTGCGCTCATCATACCCGCACAACGCACAACCTCACCACTCGCGCGATACGAGTACTGTACAAGTGGTACGGCATACCACAGCAGGTGTATCACTACCCCCGGCGCCGGTATGGCATCAACACGATAGGGGGAGAGAGAGAAAGAGAATAAGACAGTGAAGGTTGGTGAATGAAAACTGGTTATCATTTCAGGAAACAAATGTCGAGAGCGTATGGATGGATGGATGGATAAAGCTTCTGGGAGTTGAGGGCTGTGAATGAACTGTGAGGTGGATGGGCTGGGTGGGTGATGGTTCCAGTATGTATCGTGCGTGTTGAGTAGAGTGATAGTACTTGGCTGGCCAGATGGGCGGGAAGATGAAGCCTGTATGGCTATAATCTGGAGGATCAAAGTAAACGTTGCTGGGAAACGCCAGATATGATCACCATCTCCGCATCCCAAGTCGTGAGTAAAACCATCACAAGACGCCACGCCACAACGCCTCACCAATTCCAATGATAGGGTACCCGAGGCACCACCGCCTAGTCTAGCCCTAAGACTTTGGAAAGACTCATCGCCTCAAACCTAACTTAATAAAGTGAAAAGTCCGATCCATTCCATCCAGTCATAAACATCATATATACACACCCTAACCCATCCACCCCGGCCCAACCAACCCAATAAAATAACCAAGCAACCAGCCCAAAACGCACGGCGCGGGCCAGAAGATAAATGTATAAAAAAAACTCCCAGATAAGATACCAAGGAAACGATAAACGAAAATGTACAGATACAAACAAGATTGTAATGATAGACCATGGCGAGTTAGTGGAGAAAAATAAGAATCGACAGTCCAAAACACCTCTATTACGAAATGCGGGAAATGGAGCACGGTACCGCCCGAGAATGTATGAGAGTGAGTAAGGGGTAAGGAAAGCAAGGAGATGGAGATACAAAGGGAAGGACATAAATTAGCTAGCTTTGTTTTGCAATTAGTCAGTCCAAGGAGACGATATCGGACTGCTATAGCCGCCATACAAGGGACCAAGAAGAGTAGAGGTCTTCAGGTTTTGTATGGGGGAGTATACATTAGCATAATTGATCAAGTCGGGGTTAAGGGTTTTCAAGTCATAAGAGATAAGAGCGAGGAAGAGGGACAAAAAGAGAGAAAAACATATAAGAATAAGAATAGGAATTTGTTTGGAGAAAGCGGGAAAAGTGAAAAAGTGGAAAAGAAAAAGAAAAGCACTAAAAATAAGAAAAAACAACCCGCATCCATCCATCCATCCCTCCATCCCATCGGACAAGTAATCAATCGATCCGCCATCTTAAAGAGAGAAAAAAATTGTGAAGGCGACCAATGGATAGGATAGGATAGGACGAAACCAGCGCTTTTTTGAATCGATAGGAGCAAGTAAAGGAAGATGATGTGAAGAGGTTGATAAGACAAGGTAAGGATAGGAAGGCTGGTGTCACCCTTCCCATCTAGTAGCTATCCGTCCATCCATTAATCCACCCATCTACTCGAGTAATACGATACCACAACAACACCCATTCTCTCACCCCCCCCCTTTCCGCTCGGCCGTGCGCCCCCCGGTTTTTCCAAAGATACCCCGCTTTCACCACCCCACCACCACAACCAATTCCATTACCACTGCATACCACAGTCCCAACCCTTCGACTTTCAATCACTCTACTCTTCATCACCACTCTCCTCAGCCACTTCAGTCTTCATCCAGTTCTCAACATACAGACTAGCACGTTTGTACCGACGATCGGCAAACTTGTCGTATACAGCGCCGTGGTGAGTCTTCGGGTTCTCGCAGCACTCGACAAGGGTATGGATCAACGGCTCCAGCTGAGAAGCAGTGTAACCCGAATAGAAGGTGTGCGCAGGTGTCTGTTTTAAACATTGTGATTAGCCGACGTCGGTCATGTGATCCCGTGGCAAGGATAGCAGCAGTTCCGGAGGAAAACGAAATGGGCAAGAAAAAAAAAAGACAAGACAAGACAAGACAAGTTGAACAAGGAATAGAGTGGAAGGCGTTGGAAAGGGAAGAAGAAGAAGAAAAAAAAGCCGTTCCGGCGCAAGTATGTGTTGGCCATTGGAGGGGGGGGCCCCTGGAAAACGGGTCGATGACAGACAGGGGTATGTGAACCAACTGGAACGTTGAGATAAAAAAAGAAAGGAAAAAAAACAGGAAAAGTGCAACAAAATGATAGATTGGAAGCAAGAGATAAAATTACCCATTCTCCCTTCTTCAACATATGTCTGGCGAGACAGTGCGCTCCGGCAGCGAGAAAGCTTGGAGGGCTTCCAACGAATCTCTCATCCATGACGGTGATCTCCAAGAAGTACTTTGCTAGCGTTCTGGTTTCAAGATCATAATCGTCGGCCTTGCTGATTCTCCTCAAGAAGCTCATCGGTCCGGGCCAACCAAGTTCATAGTGCAACATCGAAAGCATAAATCTCTCCGCCTTGAGGATCTCTTCCGCGGTATACCCGTTGTCGACCATGTACACAATCTCGTGAACAGACGGGCAGTTGATCTCCTCATACTTGGCAGCGACAAACAGTGCTGTAGCTCCGACAAGTTGAAGCTTTCCGAGGGAGACAACCTTGGCCGAGAGGAAGCGATCGACATAGTTGGAGGTGAGGAAGAGAGTTTCGGGGAGAAGGTTAAACCGAGTGTGAACCTGGACGAGCCAGTCCATGAGAATCGCGCGCATTGACCACTGAATCTCTGATTGATGGTCCATGTAGTGGGCGTTCGGCAACATCTTTGCCTGTGTCATGGCACAAAATGTTAGAGAAAGTCTAGCACAATCGATGATGGTGTAATATAGTACTAACCTCAAGCTCACGCATGTATTCAAAGATGTCATCGCCATACTCCGCAACCATGGAAATATCACCCTCGTCCTCGTCGTCAAAGAACTCGCGCTGAACCTTACTCAATTCCTTCCTGGTCTGAGATGTGATCTTGGGCACAAGAACTTGCGTGGTAACCCCAGTAGTATTATCTCCGGGACGCGCTCTTGCACCGTTGTACTCAGTCTCATCATCATCACCCTCATCACTCTCATAGTCTGAGATAACCTCAAGTTGACCTTCAGCAGTCTTGACACCACCCGGAGTCTCATCATCCTCCGAAGCATCTTCGTCATCATCTTCAGCCTCAGCCGCAGTGCTCTCCTGATCCTCATCCAAGTATCTATCGGAGTAGGAGTGAGACGCCTGATCCGAATAGACTGGAGATTCACCCTTAGCTTGATGTTGCTTTATTCTCAAAAGGCCCGACAGAGGCCTAGAAGCACGGCTCTTGCTACGGGGCCGAGCGGCTTGTCTGCCGAATTGTTGCGATTCCTTCTTAACGACCGCATCCCGCGAAACCTTTGGACTGGTTCGCTTGGGACTAGTCCTCTTCGGGCTTGGACGCTTGTTATCTTGGTAAACCGCGGTCTTACGGGCAATATTCCTCGATGGAGCAACGTGTTGAGACGTGACCGAAGTCTGGGTAGCGATCGAAGAAGCAGGCTTGAGCCCCTGGGCTCGCTGAGCTGGTTTCGAGATCGCGCCAGTGGTCTTCTGACCCTGCTTATCCTGAACGACAATGACACCACCCCTGCTACTCTCCTTGCCAGAGGCAGTAACATTGTTGCCCTTGCTTGTATTGCTGACATCGCCGAACGCGGTCCTCCGGGCAGCAGCTTTGAGGCCGCCTCCAGTGGGCTGTTGCGATTCCATGTTCCCCAAAGCAGCGTTGGCAGCGGCTGAAGAGACGTTGCTGGCGGACTTGTTGTGGATTATAGGACGGTTTGCGTTCTCGTCCTGACGGCGAATGGCGCGAGAGGGACGTTGTGGCTATGGGCAAAAGAAAAACGCGTTGCGTTAGCAAGAAAAATATTTTTCCCCCCAGATCGAGTTGTGGATGTGTGTTATTGGATGCGAGTGGGTGGATGCATCCGAGAGGGGAGAGAGGGGTGGTGGTTATGCGAGTTTTTCTATGGGGGCTCAGGTTGTGGGGATGAACGTGCGTTTCAGGTTGAAAATACAACCATACAGCACATAGGAGGAGGATGAAATGGAAAATTTACTCACTTTAGCATCCATCTTTCTATCAAAGCTAGCGGAAATAATATCAATGTCGAGACCCGATCAATGGATCGTTGATTCGACCAAAATGTCAAAGTTATACTGCCTTTGCGGGTTTGCTGGAAAGTAGCGAGGGTTGGTGGGTGAGAAGCAAAGGAGTAACTTGAAGTTGGAGGAATCCACCGTCTACTTAAATATCTTGGTGGAAAGAGAGAGTAGTCAAGAACGAAATGAAAGAGCAGAAGGAGGATTGTTGTGAATGAAGAAAAGCGGAAGCAGAGTGGTGGAGGAGGAGGAGGAGAAGAAGGTTGATGTTTTGGTGTCCTCAGTCGGCGGATGTCCTCTTCGCGTAATGGCTGGTTGTCGAGGCAACGAAACAAGTTGATTCAGTAAGGGCAGCCAATGGCTTGGCGGCAACCGTTTCCTCTTTGGGTCCGATGGCAACAAGCAACGCGGCGCTACCCCATAAAATGGCAACGTAGCGGCGCGCTCTTATCCAGCCACCGGTATCTGTCTTCATGTCGCATCACTCGGGAAACTTGCTGCTCCCGTTTGGTGGCGGGCGAGCCAATTGTGGCTACGAACGTCGAGCAAGCAAGGGAAACCCGGAGGGCAAAAGTCGCCAGCACCGCTGTTTATACTTGCTCACGAGCAATTACCGACCCGAACCCGCCATCCAGTACTGTAGATAGCGCTTGTACACATCGTATGCTCCCCCGATGACCTCCGCGGCGCGCCGTGGTGATCAATTGGGATGAGAAACTCGGAACGGGATGCACAGAGCTCACATAATCACCATCATGCGCTTCTCGCACGCTCAGTCACGGTATCTTCTATCGTGCTATTTATCTACTCTTTCCCTTGATAACCTACAGTAAACGTTCGGGAACTGCTCTGCCGGTGTGCTAAGTGTGTGATCAGAGCGCAGCGCGGTACAGCCCGCGTCTTGGGGGGAACCAAGTTGACCCGCTTGGTTATCCCACAGTACCTCACATCCCCCTTTCGCTGCTGTTAGCTGACTCGTGCGAGTATTATACCGGTACCGTACTGGCACCCGCACATATTTCCCACCTTCTGCGGTCTTCGATTCAATGCATTGTATTTCCCACCTTCAAGAGGAGAGGGGGAAAAGTAAAATACCTGCCTTAAGGAACAATACCGTAGCCCCTCCAGATGTGGAAAGGCCAGTCGTTGCAAGTGTGCTTTGGAGTCCGTGCGTGCGTGCTAACCCCGTGTAATACGGGACGTTGTGCCCATACGTGCATTTCATACATCCCATACGGGTACATTTCTTTGTGAATGTGTATGTAATCCAATTCAATTCAGCCCTCAGGGCAGATGAGTCGAGATCCTGTCTCATGCCATCTTGTGGCGAACCCGTCGCGAGACTGGATTGTGTACGAGTATTCCTGCTGCGGGCCCTTGTTTCTTTTTTTTTTCTTTTTCCTCCCCCCTTCCTCTTCTCTTGTCCGCGCTTTGGTGGCGCCGTTACGGACGAAACCTTTTCTTTCCTGGGGCGACTGGATTCCAAGTTCATGGTACGGTACGGGGTGTCGGCGTTGGGTGTTTTATGCAACACATGGCTGGTCGTTGGTTTTCGTGATTCCCCAGAGTTATGATACGAATTCTGTCGACCGCGTTAGATGAGGGGGGGTATATGGTACAGTAGATATTTTTCAAGGGCTATTCAAAGGGTGATGATGATGGGCAGAAAGGTTTACAGAGGGCGGTATGGTACTGCAGGGCTCGGTGATACATTCTCGTTCTAATACATCACGGCTCACTCCTCGAAACATAGCCCATTGGTCCAGCGCCCGACAAGAGGTTAGTTTCCGCCATATACAAGTGGTGTATCATACCACAACGAGCTTGCTCAGCCCTCTCCTTATTTCGGGGGTTCCCGTGAGTATCATACTGGAATGCTAGTCAGCACCTTACGGTACAGTACCGGTACAGCACATTGCTCATACAATCGGTAGACTCCCTTGAGGGGGGGGTAGGGCGAGAGAGGTGGGCAGCCCGGGTTCGGGCTCTGGAGGAAAAAAAAAAAAGGGATCCTCCTCTCTTTTCTAGAAGAAGTCCCCTTCGACCGTTATTTACGGCACTTGGTGAAGATGGTATTGTCCGAAGCTCCCAATGTCGACGGCAAGCGACGTTGAAGACAGTAGCTAGAGTGTGCGAGTGCCACTTGTAGAATGAATCTTTGATTGCTGTTCCCTGCAGTTCCAATATCCGCACCATCTTTATTTAATCTCTGTTGCATGTATTTCGGTAGTTTACATATGATACATCCAATCTGTTTTCCCACCCGGACCACACCCATGTCGGGAGCGAGGTACTGCATCGCCGAGACCAACCGTTGCCACACCATCCCGTTTCCGGGTAAGTTCGCCCAGCCGTCGCGTCTCCCCGACGGTCCGGACCCAATTTGCGACGCGTTTTGGGAAACCACTTTACACGTTATCACGTGAAGAAGATTACAGCGCCCGGTTTTTGCTTGGCCCTCCATTTCTATTCTTCTTATTTTCTAACGGAGCGCTTCGTGAAGGAAAACTCGTCGCAGTGTTCGCCCATCGAACACGATTAGGAATATAGCCGTTCTTTCGTTCCAGCTTGGCCCTCTATCTCTTGCCTATCCCCTCGCAAGCGCTCGCATATCTCTCACTCACTCACACTCTCCTCCGAGTGGGCTGAAGTTTGCGCTGGTGATGGTCTAATTGCCATTTCATTCCGACGGATGCTCTATCGGCATCTTGCTGATGAGTTTGGGGATTGACGAATCGCTCGATCTACATAAGCGATCAATAAAAAAAAAGCGAAAGAAAAAAAAAAAAAGTGATATTAGATTTTTTCCTTCCTTCTCCTCCCTCTGGCATGGTATTATCTCATGCGCGCTCCTTATCAAGTAGGTCGATATAGAGGAATACAGGTCCCGGTGCCGAGTGCCCACAGAGGTGTTGTTTCTTGTTTTTTTTATTATTTTTGTTTCCTTCCTCTCAACCCTTTAGTAGGGGTTTTTTTTTTCTTTTCTTTTCCCCTTCCCTTTCCTTTCCCAACAACCCATTGCTCCTCCATTCAAGAAGGGGGGAAAATGAAGGAGGCAGATTGGACTTCTGGGTGGATGGCGAGGATAAGGGAGTGTGCCACTCCCCTTTGCGGCTAAAGATTCTTAGCGACAGCGAGACTGCTGTTTAGCAGCATGCCAATGGTTAAAGGTAACGAGGGTTGGCGATCCACAATCCGGGTGTAGAGGTCACTTTTGGGAGCGGCGGTTTGTATGATACATGCTCGAGTACTGTACAGTTGAGGTACATGGCCCTAAGGCGGCCGTGGGGTGCTGTGCCTTTGAAACAGAATGGTGCCCGTATCGGCCAGCTGTAAATTCGGGCCTTGAGAATAAAGTATAAAAACTCATAAAAACACCCTAGCCGCAAGCCTCCATTTTGATTTTCCAATTTCCAATAAATTTTTCCATTCTTTCGTATTTTTGTTTCTTTTCTCCTGGGCGAGGAGCGCGAGCATTTTGTGGAGGTGGTTCGCGCACCGGGGGGGAGGGGGGGGGGTTTACTGGGATTGTATGGAGGAGAAGAGGGAGAGGAGGGAGAGGAGTTGCAGCTCGAGCGAGAAGGGGGAGATACTGTGGGTATTGGGGGGGGGGTCTTACTTTGGATCGTGTGGTGTTGAATGGGCTGGATGGGCGAGTGGCGGCGCTGCTTGTACCATAGCGGTAATGTTCGTTCGAATGCCCTTCCTTCCTGGACCGCAGCTTCTTTCTCGCTAGCTTTTAACGGTTCGCACGTCCCCTCACTCCCTCCCTCCCTCATGGGGAGTCGGAGCGCCGAGAGGTCCTGGAATGGATCATTGGGAAAGTACGAGTATTCCCCAGCTCCGATGGGCGAAATGTCTGCGTTGTTGGACGCAAATCGCTCGACGCTCACACACACCCTTGACTCTGCATGGTTTTGCTTGCTCTAAGGGAGGAAGCAGAAGGACTATCCTGGCCGTAGGGATACTGTAACGTGAGGGGAGTTGAGGGTGGATGTATGAAAGGGAAAGGGAAAGCGGATACGTAGATGTGGTGCCTAAACTTCTCTTGAGCTTGCACGCTATGGCGAGTCGATGGCTTCGTGGAAGCTACCGCAAGTCCGGCCCGCTGTCGTTGTTGGAGATACGGTAGAATATCATGCTCTCTTTGCCACACTTGCTGGGAGATACTCGTACTGTACAGCGCTCCCTGTGATATCGCGGACACGGAACAGACCCAGACCCAGACACACCGAGCCATAGATGGTGTGCGCTTCCGCTTCGAGCCAACCACCACCACTGCCATCTCCACCGCTCCTCGCACTAGGAGGACCGCCGCCATTTATCACCGCGACTTTAGCTGGCACGGAACGCTCTTGTCTTCTTCTGTTTCTGGTGGTACTGCTTCTTCTGTTACCGCTACTGCTTGCCCGACAAGCTGCATGCTACATATTGTAGCGTTATTCCATTCATATCATACACTCCCTACATACACGCTCCACATACTCTCTTACTTCGACCGCCAGAACCCCCTACCTTGCGCACTCCTACAGTCACCTAGTCTATCTGGCGCTCCCTCCTCCTCCTCCCTGGCTTTGTCTGTATTGATTCAGCTTCCTCCACCCGATTACCCGCCCATTTCATGGTCGCCCGTTCTCGAGCTTCATTCCTGATCACTGCTCGCCATTTTAGACCTTGATCTCAAAGATATAATCACCTTCTTGTATTCGCTTTTCGTTTCTTGGCCGGCTTCCCTTCGTCACCGATTGCTCCAGTTTAGTTGTCCTTTGCCATCTAGACTATCCCTCCCTCTCCCCCAATATTGCACCCGGCTCTTCATCACGGACGCCGCCATACCGGTGCTCCACTCCTACCATCTATACCTTCCTATTCTATTCGCCAGTGGACTCTATTGCATTCCTGCATTTCGCTTCGTCCTTTCGAACCTATATCCTGTCTGCCCGTTGTCGTTGCCGTTGTCGTCGTCCCCCCCTCCCGGATTTCTGTCCAGCAACTCATCCTCTCTTCCACCCGCTACATACACACATACACACACATACACACACCCGCCCACCCACACCTACACCCACACACACTCGCCCTCACCCTCACCCCAACCTTCTCCTCACCCTCACCCTCACCCTCTCACCCTTTTCAATCGCTCCCCCACCGGTGCAATCCGATAACGATTCATCTATTCCGCCCTTCTCCCTTCAAAACCTCGCCAGACTCCATCTCCCCGATCTCCTCGCCTTCGCTTTTCTCCTGTGCGCAGCGGACTGCTGAAAGCTTGCCCCGTTCTTCCGCCTGTCTGGACTGCCCCATCGTCACTAACGACATCACGCTACTCCCTACAGCCCTCCCATTACCCTTGGCTTCCATCCTTCGTTCCTCACTACTTGAGCGCTACCATCACCCCGCTCTTCCAACCCCCATCTCATCACTCCCTAACCCCACTGCCTGGCCAAACATCGGATCCACTACGCTGCTGGCCCCGGGCCACATTCTCCCCGACTCTGCGCTCCCGACCAAACCGTCATTTTAACAACTCCCGCCCCTGCACTCCGAGCGCCGAGCGCATCTGTGGTTGGGATCAAGAAAAAAAAAAAGGTCTGTATACCGGATACTGCATCTCCTTTGCCCTTACCCTCACTTGGAGTATCTTATCCTGTTTCTCGTTTGGCATCATCGCCTATTCAGTGCTTTCGCCGATGTGTTCGTCAGTCGCTGGCACATTTGACGGTTCACGCTGTGCTGAGAATCAGCGAGCGGCGGATCGCTTTTTCTTCACTGTGGCTACTTCCCGTCCCCACGTTTAAAATATTTTTCTTTTATGCACCGTAAATGGTTCTGTTCGCTCATTCGCTCATTCACATGCTGACTGTTTGCACCCGGACCATCTATAGACATCGCTCCATTGATCCCCTATCTACCCAACACTTTCGGGTTCGCTATTGTCTGGGCGGCCCTACGAGTCCACTCGGCCTCTCACCTTGCCGCCATAAGTCTTTCGGATCCAACGGAACGCAATGAATGTCAATGCTCTTTTGTCAGAGGCTGCTCCAACAAATATGAATAACCGTACGTACGAATACTCGGCGGCGTCAACGCCTTATCACAGCAACGGCTCAATAATGACGCCGCAGTCACTGTCGCCGAGCACTGAGTGCAAGAACGTTCATTTCAGGTTCTGCAACTCGGAGCCGAAGACTCTTCACATATATCCGCATGATACCACAGATTCCATCACAACCACTGTCAAGAACATGTTTGCCATAAAACTGCATGACGAATATGGCTTATCGTTCCAAGACCCGGAGGGGAGATACATGATCCTGAGACATGAGAACTTCAGCGATGATATGACTGTCGACATAAGGGTCGAGGAGAATCCTGCCTCGTATCTGCAATACAATCCTCGACACCCGCAGGCCATGTTTTATACCGGACCTGGCCCACGAGGCTCCTTCTCCGATGGGAGGAGTGTATCTCCTAGTGCTGCACGAGGAAGGAGAAGCGCCAGCGCGGGTGGGCGCCCCAGGGGAATGAAGCGCCAAGCATCTCACCGAGGTGAAGAGGAGCATTATGATGAGCGCTACCCACAGGGATATTATCTACAGCAGCCCCCTCAACAGTTCTTGCCAGAGGAAGATGGGGAATCGGAATCGCGAGGCAGAATTGAACCGGTGGCGAGTGCGGATATCAGTTTGGACAATATTGTTGAGGGTTCAAGGAGGAAACGACCAAAATTCTCATCTGATGTAAATGATTCTCTTGGTTTTCATTTGCGTTTGATCTGTGTTAACCTTAGGATTATTTTTTCCAGGAACTGCCACTGTTCCCTCCTCCGGCCCTTCCTAGACAGGATGGCTCCACGGCGTCATCGGCCAGCCCTTCGCATCCTGCACCCCAGGTGACCACTCCTTATGGTAATCGAAATGTCAACTACCCGCACCCCACGCCACCATCCACATATGGGGTCAGTGTTTCAAACGGTGGTCAACCTGCAAACGCTTTTGGGCAAGCTCGGACCAATGGATCCACCATCCCTACGCCCGCTCCTACTGTCGCATCTTGTATTTCGGATGAGGACGTTGCCCTGCAACTGATGCGCTTGGGGGAACTACCAAGCGGTTCAGCCACTATATCTACTCTTGACGAGACAACGCGAGAGGAAGATAGCTTTTCGTCAGAGTGCGGTGAATTTGGTGATGATGGAAGAAGTGATACGGCTGAACTGCCCGACGCTCCGCCTGGGGGTCCTGGCGAGATGCCGGGCAGTCCCATTATCTACCCGAGGAATCACAAAAAGTACAAAAGTTTGGATGAGATACTACCCAGTTTTGATTCCACCGTGCCCAGCGACGATGAGTGTCTGCCCCCTATGGAAACGAGGGCTCAGCCACAGCAGCAATCAGCACCACCACCGCCGCCACCACCACCACCACCATCACTACCACTACTACAACTACCACTGCAGAGGCACCAGCAGCAGCAGCAGAATCCACCACCACCACCACCACCACCCCTTCCACAGTACCAACAGCCAAGGGAGATACAAACACAGCAACGGGTTAAACACGAGCTGTATTTCCACGAGGCCCATCATACTGTAACTGACGATGAAGATTTTGAAGAACATTTCGATGATGAGGCTGACGGGACCTATGAAGGCAAGGAAGAAGAGGAGGATGACGATGGAGACTACGACGAGGAGGATTTGGATGACATTCCACTAAAGACGTTACGCGGGAGGAAAACATCCTCAACCCCGTCCGCCGTACCCTCAACAGTGCTAGGCGCTGCAATGAAAGCCAAGCCACTACCACAGCCAGCGCCGCTTCCACAATATCCTAAGGGCACTGTGAAAGCAGTCAAGCGACAGCAGCCAACGCTATCAAGCAAACCAAAGTCGAAGCCAAAGCCACGCTCGGAGCCCCACTGGCCCATCTCTCCAGCCTCACCGCCGGCCAGCCGGAAGCCATCCGTGGCATCCGTAGCAAGCAACAAGGCGCGCCCAAACATCATGACTGGCGCCAACCCGGCGGCGAATGCCCACTCACCAATGGTCCTGTTCGGCCAGCAGACGGCAACACCCGTGGATGAGAACAAGCTGCACACGCAGTACTTTCACAATGACAATAATAACAAGCTGGGGATTGAGGAGCCAATTGTTAAGCCCCGGTGCCAGAGGTGCAGGAAGAGCAAGAAGGGTTGTGACCGACAGCGTCCGTGCCAGCGGTGCAAGGATGCTGGTATCCCCGCCGATGAGTGTATATCGGAGGACGAGGCTGGAACGCGGAGAGGTCGGCAGGCTGCAGCGGCAGCGGCGAAGAAGGCGGCGGGAGGTGGTCTAGCGGGATTGAATAAGAATAAGGCTAAGGGGAAGAGAAAAAGGGTTTGACCTCCTATCACTCTTGCCCCATATCATGACAGCCCAGGAGATGATACTTGACCGTCGCTTTGAAGGAAAACAAAGAGCTCTTTCTTTACACACTTAACCCACGCCCCGTCCAGCTATCCGTTTTGCCCAATTAGCTTTAGTTCACACGAGAAAAAAAGGACCCTCTCGCTACCTCCCTACCTACCTCCCTACCTATCTACCTCCTGTTGGCTGGTCGGCCGCTATCCATGTTATCTTTAGCTCCTTTTGTCTTTGTTTCCTCAATTCACCAAAAAATGGTTTCTTCTATTCTGTTTCGGTATGGGTTTTGTCTTGTTCCTTCTTTTGCTTTCCTGTTCTTACCATCTCTCGTTCCCTCTCTCTTCTCTATCGTATCGGCTGGGATGGGTGGGTTGGTTTTATCATTTCCTCATTTCATTTCCTTTCTCAACGAAACCAAAACCTTTTTTTTTTTTTCTCCAAAAAATTCAATTCAACTCAATCCAGTTCGGTTCCTCCGCAATTTTTTTGTAGCCAGAGTTTATCTATCTATTTAGTCAGTTTTGTTTTTTTTTTAGTTTTTTTTTTTGCTCTTGCAACCCTTTTCGTTTGCGATTGGTTTGCGAAGGGGCAGTATGGTCTCTATGTAGTTTTGTGTTCTTGCTTGCTTTCTTACTTGCTTCTACCAGCAAGCCCCTCACCCCCTCCCTCTGACCGGGGGCGGGGGGTGGCGGGCAGGGTTAAAAATTGAAGGGCAACTTGGGGGTTATCATAACTCATTGTTAAAACTTTCTTTTCTTGTTTTTTTCCTTCCCAAAAACTAAAACAAAACAACATATTGCTTACTTGCTCACTTGCTTGGCCGATGGCGCACTACCATATCGTGAAGAGGAATAGGAATTGGAATGAAGAAGCAGTTGACAACTGACATTGTGGGAGCTGGAGTAATGGAGCCTCACGCTAGGATGTTGGAGTTACCTCTCCCAGTAAGGCCCGTTGCCGATATATCCTTTTCTTATGATATCTGTTCTCAGCGAATAGTTGAAAGTCTTTTTTTCCTGGAGTGGTCTCCGCCCTATCCGAAGAGGGGAATTCCAGACAGACGTTCCTAGCTTCGGGTCCTGTTATCCAAGCTCTTACCCTAAGGGAGGATATGCCTACCGGTAGGCCAAATTCCTAGTCCTCTAGTCCGTGCAAGACGGGTGGGGACGACAAAAGAAGATAAATTAGTCTACGGCGGGTCCGTCTTTTGAACGGTGGACACCCTTGGCACCGGCTTCGCCCGCAGACGACAAGAGCCGAGGCACTGCCGGCATGGTATTACCAGTACCGGTACCGTACCGTACTCCAGCCACCACGGCTAAAAAAACGGTACAAGTACACAACAGCACGTCAGCAGTATCATACCGGTACATACACCTACCGTAGGCCGTTGCACGAGCACGGTACTCGGGTACGATACTCTACAAAAAGGACCCGATAACAATCACACCCATTCGCGCGCGATCCAATAGGACACTACGAGTACAGTGTGGGTAAAATCCCAGATAGGAAAACAGAAACAGAAAAAACAAAACAAAACAAAAAACAACAACGGACGATTACTGTACGAGCACTGTAGAAGAAGCATGGTGGTCTAGTCCATCATTCCTGGGATTCCGGGAGCGACGGCCGATAAGTTAAGCCAAGTTATTACGTTAGTTATTACTGTGAGTTCAGAACAGGGGTTGGCTGGCAAAACGCGACAGGGGGTGGGTGGGTGGGTGCTTGGCTTTGTGTTGTGTGGGAAGGAGGAGTTTATTTTTGATTTTCACCGATGAGGAAAGTGGTGGTCTGTGCGTGTTACGTCATTTTTCTTACTTTGTCTTGGCGGGTGGGGTGAGGCGAGTGAGGGGTTGTGATTGGCGAGGGTTGTTGAGCGGTATGGATTGTTGCTGTTGTTGGGATTTTTGGTGATGGGTGGTTAGTTTTGGGCGGTATGCTGGTCAAGGGTGAAGAGAGGGTGGGGGGGTTAGACTACCGTATTGTGTTGTGGTGTGGCTTGCCTGCTGGGTGGCCTTGGTGTCGTATGAGGGGCAATTGGTGGTACAATATGATACGGGTACGGGGCTCTAGGTACCTGTACGCGGCGGGAGATTTGAATGTCGATAGCTGTTAGGATTGTGTGGGTGAGATGGTGCGATGCGGCTAGTTTTTTCAATATATCATATCCTTCATGTTATTACATGCTCCAAGTTATATTTTTCTAAATACTGCTTGGCGGGTGCTCTTGCGGCAAGGGGGGACCATTTTCCGGGCCTTTGTTATGTACGAGTAGTGGGATGATATAAAGAGGGGGTCTAGTGTTTTTTTTCTTTTTTTCACAGCCCTGTAAATTTTTGGAAAGAAAGTGTGAAGCTGTTATGATATTCGGGCCTGATAATAGTGGTTGAAGGACCGGTCGAAGTGGTATGATAGCGGTAGGAAGGTTGGGGGGTTCAACTCATCCTGGTTGTGGATGTATGATACCAGGCATTCAAAACAAAGCAGAACAAAGCAAAACAAAACAAGAAAACAATTAAGCCCTGATGAACCACTTTTTTTTTTTGCCATCTTGGTGTTCTGATTGCCCTATCCCTCGATCCCTTTTCCACAACTGGGGGCTTTTTTTTCTTTCTTTCAGAAATTTAATGGGCAGGCTTTTGCGAATCCTGAGGGCGGAGATAGACTACAGGCGTATCGGAGAAACCAGGGTGAGGGGAATGTTAACTGCCAGGGGACATGGACATTGACGCTAGAGGTTAAGACAGGCGGGCGGCCAGCATGGCCCCAAGTCAAGACGTCAATTACTGGCATCTGCCGCTCCCTTAGGTATTGTCCCATCCCGGTGCAGCTCCTCCTTTCTCTTCCGTGGCATCTTTTGCTTATTCCTGCATATCTCTGGGAAGGTTTTCCTTCTCCTTTCCGCCTTTTCCGGGGTTCCTACGCTTTTTCGCAGGTGGCGGCGGTTCTCTTTTAGCAAACGAGGGGGTGTATTATGGCACTAGCCTCGTTTGGTGGTCCGGGCGGTGCTCGATCTCTTTTTTTTGTGGAGCGCAGTGTATCGGTAATTTAAAAGACTCGACATCTCATGGAGGCTGGAAATGGTTTCCCTTGTGCCTGTAGCCTGAAATCTAACTAGTGCTCACGAACCGTCAGGCTAGGTCGAGACAAGGCGACATCGGGGGTTTTTTTTCTGGAGCCTGCACGATTCGTGAGTGCCTGGAGGCGTGTAATTGTCATGTGCTTTGTCAGCGGGTAACGGATGTCTGTGAGTATCTTTGGATATCCACGGATATCTTCTGGCGGTTCGGACTGTGGAGCACGGAGGGAGATTGGAAATACTCCGAGAGGTTGGGGGGTTAGGGGTGGTGTGGATGCTGAGAAATTTCCTATCGATGGATATATTCCAAGAATGTAGGTGAACCGCTCTTGGATATCTCCACAATCACTGGACGATTATCAAGTTGTCTCTTCCGCCGCTTTCTTCAATCATTGCGAACCACAAATGTCCAATAATCTTCTCTATGACTGGGTCTCCTCACCAACATAGCTCTCGGAACGCTCTTGGTTCTGAAGATTCTGCCATTGCAAGCTTCCTCCTTCTCCCCTTTTCTTTGGCTCTGAATGTCCGGTTAGGCGGGGGTAGAGCTTTCCTGGCGAGAATTTAAGCATACACTCTGAGTTCTGACCCCCCTCTGGAATGGTCATTAACCCCCACGGCTAGGGGTAGGAGTGGCGAGGATAACATATCACGCCGGTACGCTCACGTGAGCCCAGAGACACTTGATACATCACCAATATTACTTTCTTTTCAAACCATGTGCACAAGATAAACATAACATACACCCAAAAAAAAACTCCCGGAAACCAGAGTAATCATGCTCGATCACTCGATATCCTGGAGGTGACTGCCAACCCTACCTCGCAAGCAAGCTTCCGGAAGGAGGAAAAAGGGCCGGGCCGGCCCGCCCGCTAATGCTTCCGATAGCACGTACTATCAGCCAATGCAGAGATCTCGCAGGAAGTTCCAGTTTGTACGTTCCAACGTCAGATGTCTGTGGCGTCCGTTTTCCCTCTTTCGGTTTCTACTTTCTTCCGTTTTTTGGGTGCTCTTTGCTGTTTTGTTTTGTATAGTATGGGGTGTGGGGGGTAGTGCAGAAGGAAGGAAGGGAGGAAGGAAAGAAGAAGGCAGTTTAGTTCAGTGCATCTGACTTGGCCAAGTCTTTGTTTCGGGAGTAGGGTTTGGCAGCCGGCCGTGATAATGGTTTTGAGATTGCCATTGTTTGTTTGTTTGTTTTGCGCATCCCGACGTGAGATCTGCCGGGCATGATTTGGATTTTCTAATTTCTGGGGTTGGATATTTTGCGGATTTGGGGGGTTGAGGATCGGAGTAAAGATATCCTGCTACAGCTCGATATCGTAATCTGGGTGAATAATAGGAGCTGTTTGCCAAATCATGGCACAATACCGCTTACATAATTTGTGTCATTAGAGTGCCATGCTTGGTCTGTTTGCTCGCTTCGTTTCCTAACGATCGTTTGTATAATATCTATGGTAATTATGCGCCAGACGGTGCCAAAGTGTTAGAAAAGCGGGGGGGGAGTCAAAAACTCCATAAAATCCCTTGTAGGAATCTATATGATAGCTTGTTGCCTAACCTTGATTTGGACCAATTTCTTCTTCTGTTTCTGTAATGATATTATCACCATTCGAGCCTGTACTGGATAAGACCTAACTTCAGTTTGTTTGAATTGAAATTCAGGAAATACTCTACAACCTTGACTATACACCTAAACATTTCGTTTTGTTTCTGTCTCTAGAAGATGCTACGGGGGTCATCCAAACTTCAAAAATATTTTCCAAGCCGCTGTACTCGTACATATATCATACTTCACAAGCCTAGCAAGGTGACAAAATCAAACCCAAATTATTTGCGGTTGAGATCCGAAAAATTGGGTTTTATCTGGTATCATACGGGCTCGTTTTAACTCTTTGTTACG